TATGAAAGAATAAAATAATCCTGTTTTAGTTAATAAAAAAAGCAATGAATTTTAATAAAATTGCGAAATTTATATAAAAAAATAGGCTATTTAAATATAAAACAAATAAAATATTTGTTCATAAAAAAAAGAAAATAATATTATTAAAGCGAATAAATTAAAAAAATCCGAAATATGATTTATTAGAAAATAAAATTAATATAAAAAATATTAATAATAGTCATATAAAGTTATGTTAATCTGGTTAATTAGATGATATTTTTCGTTAAAATAATAATTAAAAGGTACATGTGTTGAGTGATAAATAAAAAAAATAAAATAGTTAATGTTTATTTAAAATAAAAAGTTCATCTTAATTTTCTATGAAAAATGATTTGCTTTAAGATTTTAAAAATGTTTAATTTTAAAATTTAATTGATAATTTCAATTATAGATTTAATTAAACTTTAAATTAATTCATCATTAGAAAAGGTAATTAGATTAATTAAGATTAATTAAGATTTAATTTAGATAATAATTAGAAAAAAAATAATATAAATAATAGAATAGTAAGAACATGTAGAGAATAATAATAATAATATAAAAAAAATACAAATCTTATTATTAATAAAATTTTGCTATAATTAAAAAATAATATAATAGCTATCATAAAAGTATTAAATGAAAAAAAAAATGAAAAAATTCTTTTAATAAATTATAAATAATAACTAATATATAAATATATATAAAGAAAAAATAATATTATATATATATATATATATTTTTTTATATATTTTGTAAAGAAAATAATAAAATAAATATATTTTTTGTGTGTGTGTGATATATTTATCATTTATTTATATATTAATGAATTTATTTAATGCTATTACATTTTTCATAATTATTAATAAAAACTTAAAAATCTCCTCTATATTTAATATTAATAAAACATGTTTATATATTTTTATGATTTAAATTGTTAATCATAAACTAATATTAGAAAAATTTCTAGCTTATATTTTATACTTTTTAAAGAAGTTCTTAATCTTCGTTAATATCAACTAGATATTATTTAAATAAAGTCAAAGAATTTATTTTTTCTTGATTTTCATTTAGAATAACTCCATGATCTCTTAAATATTATATTAATTTTGAAATTGTTGTACTGAATAAATTCTTTGTTTCTTCACAATAATTTTTACCAATTTTATTTAATGTTTTTCCATATATTCTTTTCTATTTCTATTTTAATGAAAATGAGTTCGATTATAATTTTAATTAATTTTAATCTATCGTAGAAAATAATGCCTATTTATTGATATTTTAAAGAAGATAATTATTTAAGCTATTCTGCTCATTATTAAAGCAATAATTATTATTATTTTAATTTAAAAGATCATATTTTTTAGATATAAATGAGCTATCGGATGAAATATTAAGAGATTTTTATATATTTATTAGATTTTCATTATTAATTTCTTTTAATTCCTATTGATTTTGAGAAGATTGAATGATAATGTTTCTATTGATTTTATTTATTTTAGGTATTTATAATTGTTCTAGGATTTCTTTTGATTTTAAATTAAAATTAGACTCATATAATAAATAACTTTATTTAAAAATATTATATTTATCGAAATTAGAAATAGATGATATTTGGTTTTGCTTTGCAAATTATAATATTATTTATTCTATTTGAGATAAATTTATTTATAGATTTTTTTGCTTTAGTTCATATGATGGAAATTTGCCTTAATAGTTTCCATTGTAAAATATTTCTGAATTATTTAAAAATACATTTAAGATTTAATTTTCTTAGATTAAATTATATAAGGTTTTTTATATATTATTATTTTAGGGCTATGATGCGTCTATATTAAATATATATTATTATTTTGTTTGCATTTCTTCACATATAATATTTATTAACTTACTTTATTACATATCTAGAATATTTATCATTTAAAAAAAAAAAAAAAAAAATTGTTTTGTTTTGTTTTTATTTTATTTTTTTCTTGTTTTTTTTTTTTTTACTTTAAAAAATAAATATTTGCAAATGTGTATAATTTTTTTTTTTTTTTTTTATTTGATTTACTATTTTTTAAATATTAGAATAAGAAAAAAAAAAAAAATTATCATTTTTAGAAAATTAAGTATAAAAATAAATTTATATTATTTTATATTATTAATTATTTTTATATTTTAAATGTAGTATTATTTATATTTTATTTTTATGTATATATTTTTTTTTTAGATTTATAATGTGATTAGTATTTTTTATGAAGAAAATTAAAATTAATACTTCCCTCTTTCTCTCAATTTTTTTTTATAATATTTATTTTAATAATTTATTGCTTTAACTAATTTCTTTTATTTTTTAAGTTAATATTTTTAAAATAATAATAATAAATAATTATTTTATTAAAAGGTAAGATATATTGTTTCATTAAATAATCATTTTTTTTTTGTTATTAATGAAAATTTTAATATAATAATAATTTAAATTTTAAAAATTTTTTGAATATAAAAATTTATATTTTAATTAATAATTTAAAATTTAAAAATAATAATAATTATAATTTTAATGTATTCATAATTATTATGAATAACGATCTTTTGATTTATTTAGATTTTAAAAATAGAATTTCAAACCATTTTCGAATATAAATATTTAAGTTATTCATTATTATATATAAATATATTAACTTTAATATTTATTAATGAAAATTAATATTTTATATTTGTAGATTAATTTTTTAAAAAAAACTATATTGCATAATATTTTAATACATTTTAGAGATATATAATTAATATTAAAATTTCTTATATTAAAAAAAAAAAATTAATAGTTTAAAATTATATTAGAATATTTTAATTAAAATTAAATTTTTTAAGATATTTTAATAACATTTTTAGATTTTTTTTATTTTAATTTTTCTTATTTAATTTAATTTTATTATTCATAACAAATACAGCTTTATGATTTTCTATAATTTTATATTATATTTTATTTTATATATTAATTATATTATACATATAATTATTATTTATTTTATATAAAACTTTTTCTTAAAATATTATATTTACTAATATAAATAATTAGTGTTTTTATATTTTCTTATAAATATTTAAACTAAAAATCTAACTAAATTTTTAATGATAAAAAATGAATAATAAAGATATTATATCGTAATTAAATTAATTAAAAGTTTTATAAATTAACAAAAATTTTAAAAATAAAAATGATAATAAAATCATACAATCTAAACATTAATTTTCAAATTGTTAAAAAAATATATTATAAAAATAATTAGATTAAAATAAAAATTAATAATATAATCTTAATATTTAATAATAATTTTTAATAATATTAATAAGTTTATTTATAAATATAAAATTATATTTTTTATTTATAAATATACAAAGAAAAAAATATCACAAAATTATAATTTTATTAACTATCATTTAAATTTAATAAGTATTTTTTCTTATATATTCATTTAAATAAGACTTTATATAAAAATATTTTTAGTAAAATTTGTATTTTTTTATTAATTAGACAATAATAAAATAATTTGTACTTAATTTATTAAATATATGATTAATATATTTATCAAAAAATAAATTTATTTATTTAAAATTAAGATATAAATATTATAACTAATCAATAATAATCAAAATATTTTATTTAATGTTAATTTTAGCTTAAATATAAATTTGGTTTAAAATATAAAATTAAATTATATTTATTAAAAGTAAAATTATTAATATTTATTTAATAAATAAATAATAAATAATATAAAATTAATAATATGACAAAATTAAATAATTATGTGAAAAATTATATAAATTAAATATAAAAAAATAAATAAAAAGATGTAATAAAATACCAAAAAACTCTAATAATCTAATCAAGAATCTAATTATAAAAATGCATTTAAATGGTTCTCATATTTTATAACAATAATTCCTTTTTTAATAATAATAGGTGCTTTTTTATTTTTTATGTTCAATACATCAGTAAAACTAAAAGTAATAAGTTTTTTTGAAAATATGAAAATTCTTACTTTAGCAAAGTCTATAGAGATAATTTTATATGGAATTTTATTAATATTTTTAAGTTTTCCTTATGTTATTTTCGAACTATGTTTAGGATTTACTTTTATTTTTCCTACAAATTTGTTTTTTGCTGTTATTTCTAAAATATTGGGTGAAATATTATGCTTTATAGTATCTAAATATTTACTTAAATAATTTTTGATATAATTTTTATAGGATAATGAGCATTTTATTATAATATAGAGAGCTGTAAATAAATATCCTTATACAATATCAAATATATTAAGATGCTCATTATTAACCCCTTTATTTATTATTAATTTTGGATCTCCGATTATTAATTTAAGCATATAAGAATTTTTAATCCCTGCTTTTTTATGGGGCACTTTTTATTCAGGAATCGCAGTTTTATCAGGAGCATAGTTAAATTCGTTTTCCGAAATTTACAAAAACTCGCAATTTCCTTAAAATAAACTACTTTTTGTTTTCGAAAGTGTAATGCTTTTAGTTAGTATAATTCTTATTTTAATTATTGTTTTGGTTTCAAAAAAAATTTATGAACAAATTAAAAAGGAAGTTTAAGAAGAAATAAATAATTAAATTGTATGAATTTTTTCGATAAAGAATATTTATAAATGAAAAAATTCTATTAATAAATATCATATATATATATATTAATAAAAAAAAAATATAAATACAGAAAAATAAAATAGTATTTTATTCATAATATGTTTTTTTATTTATTAAGTTATTCTTAATTATTATTACTTTCTTATATATTAAATTACTTATTATCTATATAATTTTTTTAATTATTATTAAAAATCGATAAGTCTTCTTATTAAACGGAGTCTTTATTTTAAATGGAGTCTTAAAAATTCTATAGTTCTTAATTTTAGTTTTTTTATTTTTTTCCTTTTTTCTTAGTAATAATAATAAATTCGGATTTAAACTCTTTATTTTCACCTCCTTTACTATCCAATATTGGTGTATAATATTTCGGAACGTATTTTTTCTTACTTTCCACAATTGGTGTATACATAGTTTTCTAATTAGACTTAATTTTAATAGTCCTAAAACTTATATGGTCTATTAAATGCATTTATTATTCATAAATAATAGATTTTTATTCCAAAGAAATATTTTATTCCGAATCATAATGCACATCGTCCCCTTTCATAGCATTTTTATAATAAAAAGCAGCAAAAAATAACATCACAATTCCAAAAAGACTTGAAGCTCTTGGAAATGATAAATAATCAGCAAAAAAACCACCTAGAAGAGGTCCTGCGAACTCTCCTAAAGCATAACTAGTATTAAATAAGGCACTGGAGATGTCCCCAATCATAGTATCATTATCTTATGGGTATTAGAATTTAATAATTTTATAAAATTGTGGCAAAGCAGGAATATAAATAAGGATACAAGCAATTCCTATAGAAATATTAGCGAAAATTACACAATACATATTTTTTGCAAAACCAGTGTATGGATCAGGACCTAAAAAAATGAAGCTTATACCCATTATTATAGACCCTGATAATAATAAAGACTCATATTTTGAATATTTTTTAATCTATTAAGCACCATAAGGTGTAAATAATATATATATTAGTGTATTAATCGTAAATAATATTCCTATTTAAAAATCGTCTAGGGAGTAGTTTTGAGAAAAATATATACCCATAGTAGGATCTAAGTATAATAAACCACATGTAGGTAAAAATATTATTATATAATTCATTAAAAGGTATTTACTTTTGAATAATTTGGTATAATTTATTTAATATTCTTCGTCATTTTCTTCGACATTTTCTTATTCATTTTATAATAATTAATTATCTGGTTTTATGTCAGGGATTAATATATTTAATAAAGGAGTCAGAGTTATACATATGATGAAAAAAAAAACAAACGGAGTACTGTAACCGTACATTTTTAATAATAAACTGCCTAAAATAGGACCCATCATTGAACCGATTGCACCAGCACTTTCCATATAGGCGAATATTTGTTCAAAATTGTCTTTGTATACTATGGGTATGTATGCGAATGCGGGAGTACAGAATAATGATTAACCCTTTTTTTTTTTTTTTTTACGATTTTTTTTTTTTTTACGATTCCTAATATTATTCTAGAAAATAAAGTTGTAAATAAAAATAAATAATAATCTTCAATTTAAAATACAAACGCAAAAATTAAAATTCCTATTCCGGTTAGTAATATACCTAATAATGTAAATTTTTTACGATTATGGCCTATTTATAAATTTTTTCCAAGTATTATTGTACATATGAAATTTCCAAAGGGATGTATGGCGAATATTACTCCTATTAAGGATTCAGATATGCCGTATTGTATAGCTCTTTGGGGGAAAAATGGAGCAATTGCTGAGTTTGCAGAGTTTATGGTAAAATGTCCTATATATAAAGCTAAAATAAATAAATCCATATTTATTTATTTTAAATAATAAAGATTATTTATATATTAGAAAAAAAATTAATATTATTTGTCTTTATAAAAATTTATAAGATTTTGTGTTAAATTAATAATTTACTATATTAATAATAAATAAATTAATATTAAATAAAGTATATATTATATAAAAATTTCAGAAAATAAAAATAAATATTTAATAACTATGTTAAATGATAATGATTTAATAAAATATTAAATTTAAATTCAAAATATAATAATTTAGTAAATTAAGTAAATTTTAATTCAAAATTAAAAAAAAAAAAAAAATTATTAAAAAATATATAGTAGAAGATCAAAAAATATAATACAAATAATAAATGAAAAAATAAAAAAATATAAAAATTATTAATTATATATAAATATATGTATTTATAAATAAAATAAAAATAATTAAGAATCGACATAAATATTATAAAAAAAAAAAAATTGAAAATTAAATTTATTTAAATAAAAAAGCATTTATGATTGTTTATTATGATTATATAAAACGTTAAAAAAATTATAAAAAAAAACAAATGAAATTAATTAATAGAAAAAATAAAATTAAAAAATTATTTATTAAATTAATTAATAAATATATATAAATTTATATATTTATATATATATATATTTATATATTTATTTTTTTATATATTTATATATCTTTTTTATAATATGTATAAATTTTACTTTTTTTTAGTTATATATATTTATTATTTATCAATTTAATATTTTTTTAATATAATTTTTTATATAATTTATTTTTTTCTTTAAAAGAATTATTTTTTTATATATGTTTTTTTTTAAAATTTATACTTTAATTTTATTATATATATATATTTTTTTTATTTATTGAATTAGTCTTAATTTATCATTAATTTAAATTTTATATATATTTTACATTTTTTTTTTTTTTACATATAATAAGATTACTTTATCTTATATTAATATATTTTCATTAATATTATTATATTTGATATACATAAAAACATCTAAAAAAATTTGATTTAGTATATAAAATAGTTTTAAATGATAAATTAGTGTAAATTATTTATTAATATAATAATATATGTTTATGAAAGATTATCTGATTAAAAGTATTTAAGAACCTCTTTTAGATAATATGCAATTTTTAAGCTATTTGATAATTAGAAAATTATTTAAACCCAAATATCTGAAAAAAAAAAAAATGGATAAATAATTTTTGAACAAATAAAAAAATAAGAAGAATAGAGAAAATATATGCAAAAAATAAGAGATAAAAGAAAAATAAAAGAGAAAATTTAGAATATTAAATAAATAATAGTGTATTTAATACATTGGATGAGAAAAATTTACTGAAATGGAAAGGAACAGAATTATAATAAAAGCCTAAGCTAAAGTATAAAATAAACAAGATAAATAATTTAAGTTTTACGATATTGGAAGAGGTAAAGAAGTAAAAAGAACATTAAGACGAAAGATAAGTGGATAAACTTAAATTTAATGATGAAGGTGTCAGAAGGGAAAAATCAAAAAATTATAGAATCTCCAGCTGAGGAGAGTAATACTTATAAATATGCTTTAGATTACATATTTGAAAGATTAAGAGGTATAAAAAAGCAGCCTTAAGAGAAAAATAAATTAAAAAAGTAAGAACTGAGTGAAGAAAAATGAAGAGAAAGAAAGAAAAAAGATGAGGAAAAATAATATAAAGGAGAATAAGATATTTTTTTTAGATTTCTAATTTATCTCTTAATAGAAAAAAATTAATTAAAAGAAAGAATTACGTCTAGTTTTCTTAAAAAAAGGATAAATGAAACAATAAAAAATTTAAAAATGAATAAAATTTTAAAAAAAACTTATATTTATTGATTTTTGAATATATAAAATTAATAACTGCCTGCTGCTTAATAAAAAGAATTGCTGATGACTAATTAAAATAAAAAGAATATAAAAACAAAAAATATGTAAAAAACAAGAAAATAATTTTTATTTATAAAATAAAATAGAGGATAAGTTAAAAAATAAATAGGGGCTAATAATACAAAAAATTATTACATATTTATAAGATTAATTTTAAAAATTAATAATTATATTTTTTTAATTTAGAACTTGAAATATATTTGTAAATAATTTATTTTTAAAATATATTCATATAAATTATTGTTAACATATATTATACAAAAAATTATATATAATAAATAATAATTTATTTGAATTTTTTATAAACAAAATATTAATTTAAAAAATAAATATTATATAAATTATAAATTCCAATTTAATTAATAAAAATATAAATAAATACAGAAAATTTATATGAAAATAATCTATATATAACTATAATTTAATTCTTTAAAATATAAGAAAAAATTATTAGCATTATAAATTATTGTAATTATAATACTAATATAAGATATATAGATAAATTCTATTCTATAATAAAATTTGGTATATAAATACTTAAAATACATGTAATTATGAATGCCTAAATTTAATATACAAAATATTTATAAAATTATTATCAAAAATGTTGCTAAAAATATCTTCTATAGATTTATATACTAGAATTGATTTAAATTATGAATGCAAAAAATAATAAATATTAAATAAGTTGTAAAGTTGGCTTTATAAAAATTTAGACTAAAATAGAAACAAAATATGAATAAATTATAGAAGTAAGTTAATTTATTTTTAAATATGTACTGAAAGTATTTATACCAAATATAAGACCAGATTCTATTCTAATATGTCTAAAAAATAGAAATAACTTCTAAAGATAAAAATAATAATTTTTCTTGAAATTGGGTATAGATATATTTTCATAATCTGGAAACCTGGCGAATGTTTAATATTTTAAGATGTTTTATGATGATTTGAACAATAATGAAATTACCTTAAGTATTAATTGTATTAATAAATAGAGTAATTATAAAAAATGTATGGAGAGTAGTTGCAGTTAATTTATTAGTGTATATTTATTAAATAAGTCTTAAAATAAATGCGAATTAATAAAGTCCTATAAATATTTACTTTAGGCTCAAGGATGATTAATTATAGAATAGCTATTAAATATTTTTTTCTTTATTATTTGTTTAATTTAATATCATTGCTATTATTAGGACAAAAAATATGAAATAAATATTTTAATATATATAAATTTTATTTGTGTAATTTTAAATAATTATTTTAAATTAATTATTATATATATATATATATTTTATTAATATAATTTTTTACATAACTATATTAATTTTAATTATAAATATTAATTATATTAAAGTTTAATTGTTTAATAATATAATATAATATTAATAGGATGCAAATAATATTTATAATTATTTTTTATAAATTTTATTTTTATTATTTTTATTTTTTTTAAACTTTTTTTATATTTTAAAATTTTTTAAATTAAATAAAAAAAAATATATCAAATATATAATAAATAATTAAAAAGAATTTTATTTAACATTTAATTTTTTTATTTATTTTATAAAATAAAAATATTTTATATTCATTTAAAATGATTCATCTTTTGATTATTAAAATATATATCTTAAATTTTTGAAAACATAAAAATTATCTTTTTTGCTAAAGATAAATATAAAAAAAAAAAATTAAATATGAAAAAAAGATATCTTAGAACATTAGAAAATATAATATTTTTAGAATAATAAAATTATTATAAATAAATATTTATTTTTTATTTTTTTAAATGGCCAAAATTATAAAATCTAAAAAAAAATACAAATATTTATAATTTTTTTTAATAAAATTAAAAATAAAATAACTTTTTTAAAAAATAAAAATAATTAATTTATAAAAAATTAAAATTAAAAATAATAAATTTATTTAAATATATAAAAGACTAAATATTTTATAAATATATATATAAAATTATTGTAAATTTTAATATATAATTTATATTTAATTCATTAAAATAATATATATCATTTTATATTATTTAAATAAAAATTTACAAAGTAAATATTAAAAAAATATATATATATTTATTTATAATATATAAATAAATAATAGCATATATACAATATTATAAATTATATATATTATTTTTTTATGTTTATTTTATATAATATCTATAAATCATTTTTGTTTTATAATTTTTTTTTCTTAAAATAATATTTTAAAAGACTAAATTTTAAAAAATATTTTATAATATAATATATATAATAATATTATAATTTAAAATTATAAAATTTCATTTTCATTATTAAATTAATAAATATTTTTTAAATATATATAATTTTAATAATTATAAAAAAAGAAGTATAATATTCAATTAAATAAAATTATATTTATTATTTAATATAATATAAATAAAAAAAAAATTTATACTTTAAAATTTTATAATTAAATAAAAAAAATATATCAAATATATATTAAAAATTAAAATAATATTATTTTAAATTTAACATTTAATTTTTTTATTCATATAAAAAAATAAATATATTATATTCATAAAAAATGATTCATGTTTTGATTATAAAATATTTATATCTTAAGTTTATAAAAAATTATATATTAATATTTAAATTTATTTTACTAAAAATAAATATAACTAAAAAATAAAAATTAAATATAAAAAAAAGAAAGTCTTAGAACATTAGAAAACATAATATTTTTAGAATAATAAAATTATTATATAAAAGATATTTTAAAAATTTTATATATAGACAAATTATATAATGTATAAAATAAAATTTTAATTTTTTAAAATAAAAATAAAATTAAATATAATAAAATTATTTTAGAAATAAATTAATTTTTAAAATGTTAAAATTAAAAATAATAAATTTATTTAATAATTAAAAAAAATATTTTAAAGTAAATTATTAAATAAAATTTATATTTGATTCATAAAAATACTATTAAATATTATTATATTTATTTAAATAAAATTCTATAATGATATTAATTAACAATTAGAAATATAAATATATATATAAATATTTATATATCTATATTTATAAATATAAATATATATATTTAAAATAATAAAATATTAATAAACAATAATATATAAATAATATATTATGAATTATTTATATTTATAAGATATTATTCATATAATATGTATAAATTATTTTTGTTTATATTATTATCTTCTTAAAAAATATTTTAAATAAATATTTATTTAAAATATTTCTATATAAAATTTTATTAATTAAAAAGATAATATAATAGTTTAAAATTTAAATTATAAATATTTATTTTTAAACTATAAAACATCCTCAAAAAAAATATCTTTTATAATAATTATAAAAAAAAGAAGTATAATATTCAATTAAATAAAAATTATATTTATTATTTAATATAATATAAATAAAAAATAATGTTTAAAAAATTAATATATATTTGTATCTTAATATTAGCTAAATTTATCCATTCACACCGTAAATGTAGTCATAAAAGTAAGTAAATACAAGATCACTATGAAAAAATGTATGAAACTTACTAAAATATGGAAAAATAAAATTATAATTAACGTATTCTTTAAACAGGTATAAAAGCATAACCTATAAGAATAACTACAGATTATACCATTATAAAATAAGCAGGTTCAGATATAACAGAATAATAAAAAGACTACTTAATAAATATTATCGAAGCATCCAAGCTTTATTTCTAAAGACTTTTGAAAGTATACCCATTAATAGGAAATAACATTTTCCCGTAAGGGTTTTCTAAAAACTGTTTTGGGGCTTAAATTCCTTAAAATGATTAAACAATAGGGATTCCTAATTCAGATTTACACATATACATTATTTTTAATAATTAAGCTGATAATTAAATTGCAAATGCAATTTATTGTGCAGTTGGTGATGGAGGATTCACCAGACCTATTTTCGGAAGAATTTAATTTAATATATACAATTTGAGTAAAATTAATAATCCGATAATATTTAAGAGAGATTTGGAAACAACTATTCATGAAATTTTTCATATACTCGGTTTCTCAGTTTACGCAATGAAATATTGGATAGATCCTGATACTGGAAAACCTTATGGAACTAACTATAAAGATAAATTGTTAAAAACAAAAATTTACAGAGGAAGATAAACTTCTATTTTAATTTCTAAAAATGTAGCAGAAGTAACTAGAAAATATTATAATTGTCCTACAGCTGAAGGAATGTAACTTGAAAATTAGGATACTACAGGTTTTTATAGTTATCACTGGGAAAATACTGTAATTCATAATGAAATTATGACTGGAAACGAAGTATCTAATAGTGTTCTTTCTGTATTTACAATTGCTCTTTTGAAAGACACAGGCTTTTATCCTGAAGTAAATGAAAATATGGCAAATAATATATTATGGGGAAAAGGAAAAGGTTGCGATTTCTTAGAAAACGCTTGCTAAAGCACAATTGAATACCCTGAATATTCTAAATAAATTGATATAGAGTAATGTACATTTGAATATGATGGAATCGGTAGTAGCTAAATGATAAATTAAGGAGACGATTGTAATATTATGTATTTATATCCAAATAATTTGTGTATAAATCCTTATATTGAAAGATCATAATATGATTAAAATTAGGAATCGAATAAATTATCATATTATTCAGTTCAAAGTAAATGTTTCTAATCCACAGCTAAAAAATTAAATTCGATAGATAGTTATAGTTAATTTAGATGTCACCAATACAAATGTTCCCCCGATGCTTCTGAAATATCTGTTATTTTCCCTGAAATTAATGTAAGTGCTTTATGTGGAAAAAATGAAAAAAATAAGAAAAAAGACATAGACTCGAGTGGCGAAAAAGCTTATGGTTAAATTACATGCCCTTAAAATTATGAAAGATTCTGTAATTAAACCTATTTATGTCCAAATTTCTGTTCCAGTAGAGGATTTTGTGTAAACAGTCAATGTATCTGCTAAGCCGGATTCGGAGGAGTTGATTGTTCTATAAAATGCTCCGGGGTAGTCGATAATGAAATGTGTGTAGAAGACTCATGTCCTATAGGCAAATTTTTGAATCCAGATAATACTTGCAAATCAGATTGTCCTTTAGGTTTATTTGGAATGGCTGAAAAACGTGAACCATGTCATAATACTTGTTCTAAATGTACAGGACCATCAGCTAATGAGTGCACTAGATGTTAGTTTACGACATTATTGTAATAAAATAGATGTGTAGATAAATGTAATGAAAATTAAGGATACTTTTATAATTAAACTTTAGACATTTGTGAATATAGATGGTCCGATATTTGTTAAGGAAATTGTAAAATTTGTTAAAAAAATAATTAACTTTTGTGTATATCTTGTTTAGTTGGCTTTTTTTATTATGAGGATAATTGTTTAAGTTAATGTCCTTTCGGATTTTTCAATAACTAAGAAAATTAAGTTTGTGAGAAGAATTCCTTAGGATGTCTTTAATAAGATAATCCTAACACCTGTTCTCAATGTGATACTAATAATGGATTTAGATTAACTTTAGATTATAAATGCACTTTGTGTTAGTCACCTTGTTCTTTGTGTAATCCTAATAAATTAACATAATGTTTTGTTTGTGAAGGAAGTAAATTAGTAAGTATTGACGATATTTGTGTAGATGAATGCTCTGAAAATAATTATTATTCTGATTATAGAAAAAAATGCTTAGAATGTACTCGAAATTGTAAAAAATGTAATTATATTGGTTGCAGTGAATGCTATGATGGTTATTATCTATATTATAAGAGTAAAACTTGTTTACATTGCGCTTATAATTATCCTTATTGTCAATCCTGCGATTATCATTAATGTATTAAATGTATGAATGGATATTAATTAAATTCAACTAAAAAATAATGTGCACCATTTTCTTAAGAAGGAAGTGATAACACTGAAATATAATACACTGAGGGTTGTAATAAATTTTCTGAATTAGGAAAATGCTCAGAATGTTAAGATGGTTTTTATGATTATTCAGTTGATAATCCAACTATTAAAACTATAAAATGTCTTAAGTGTACTATTAAATTCAGTAATTGTAGTTCTTGCACTCCAAATATTTGCTTAAAATGTTCTCCTGGGTATGAATATTATGATTACGAAGATTTATGCATTAAAGTTAATGAAGAGGATAATAAATGCAATTAAGGATGCACATTATGTAGCTAAAATGGAATGTGTTTAAAATGTATGGATGGCTTTATTTAAGATTTTATGTATATATAAAATTTAAAATATAAAATTTGTTAAGAATGCAGTAGTAAATTTAGTAATTGTATAAAATGTGATTAGATTAAATGCACTAAATGTATTAATGGATATTATTTAAATGATTCTACGAAATAATGCGAAATAATCCCTCCTTCTAGGTTTTTAAAGAATGTATAAGATGATAATTAATTGTAGAATAATTATTAAATAACATTTTAATATTAAATATAAATTGTTTTATTAAGTTTATTAATATGATAAAAGATTTATTTTTATGATAATAAATTAATTTTTTTAATAAAATGTTTATTTTAATTATAAAAAATATATATAATTATATTTTGTTAAACTTTATTTATTATTTTTATTAAATCTTTTTATTAAATAAAAAAAATTAATATAATTTAAAAATCTATTAAATATATATATATAATTATTGATATTAAAATATTAATTGTAATTAAAAAATTATTAAAATATAAAAAAAAAATCATATTAATAAAAATGTTAAAACTAAATTTTTCTTAAAAAAAAAAAATTTAAATAATTATAGAACAAATAATAGATTGATATAAATTTAAAAAAAAATTAAATATAATAATTTAATATAAATTAATTAATATATAAATATAAAATTAAATCAATATGATTATATAATTAAATATTATTGTTATAAAATATTTTTAATATTAGAATTATTTAATTTATATAAATTATATATATTATATTTAATTTATATAATATATATATATATTTATATATTTATATATTATCTATTTTTAAATATTTTTTTTTTTTTAATTATTATTATTTTTAATTTTAATTATAATTAATCGAATATGCATTTAATTATGTATTTATAAAATAAAATAAAAGAATTATTTTTAATTTTGTTTTATATAAATCTTAATAAGAAAACTTATTCTATTTGTTAGAAGTATATATTTTAATAATATAGCATATAATTTTTAAGTTTATTAATGTAATTTTTTTTATATGAAAGAATTAAATTAATTTACAATATATTGAATACGAACAACTCTCCAAAAATAATACTGCATAATTAATTTCTATTGAAAAATATTATATTTATAAAATTATATAAATAATTAATTAAACAAAAAAATAAACTATAAATTTTTATAATTGAAATATATAAATATTATTTATATTTAATAACTTCAAATTCAAAATATTGTCTAAATTATTATCAATTATATGTTTGGTTTTAAATATAAATTTTATTGTATTTAAACAATTAATATAGATTGAAGTAATAAATTTTTATATTAATTTAATCATATATATTTATATGATAATAATTAAAAGACTTAAATATATATTTATTATCAAAATTTGGATATAGTTTTGGTTTCAAGGTAAATTTTTTAATTCCCATTAACTAGAAAAATGTAATTATTTGTAAAATAAATTGTGAATTGTAAATTTTAAATTAAAAATGAATGAATTTGATTTGATATTGAACAATTAAATTTTAAGTTAAAAATTAAGATAATAAAAAAGAAAATTTAAAAATAATAATAAATATTAAAAAAAATGAAGATATGTCAGAAATTAATAAAAAATATAGAATTAAAAAGTATTATCATTTAATAATATATATTTTTTTATTTATAAAAACATTATTATTTTATATAATGAATAATAATAATTATATTATTATAAAATAATTTGCCTATGAAATTTAAAAAAAAAAATTCTTAAAAAATATGTTAGAAGAAAATTTATATTTTAATATTTTTTTCTAGAACATAAATAATATAAATGAATAAAAAATTAAATTATTAATTAAAGTAAATTATTTAAATTATTATTAACAAAAAAAATTAATTAAATTCGATTTAATATTTTGGAAAATAAAATAAAATTTTTTAAAATGATAATCGATCTGCTAACTTTATAAATCAATATAAAATTAATAATCATAATAATAATAAAATTTTATTAAAAAAATAAAAATAGATAATAAAAAATATACAAAATAAATATAATTTTATAATCTTTTAAGTTTAAAATATTAAATTTTAACTTTTTGTATATTAATTGTGAAAAAAGTTGCCTCTTTTAATATTCACATTTATAAAATTATTTATTGAATTCTAAAATATATTTATAAGACAAATTTTATTTTATGATTTTATAATAATTAGTTATATATTATTAATTTTTAATTTTATATTTATTAAATTAAAATTGTTATATTAATTTTTAAAATTCTTTTGTTTATTTAACATAAAGATATATAACTTAAATATTAAAGAATAATATGAATTAATTACACTAAAAAAGAAAAGAATTAAAAATGGTTAAAATTAAATAAAAGTTAAATTGATAAATATAAAAAAATTCAATGTAGTAAGAATATACTAAATATAAATTTATAAAAATAAAAATAATAAATAATTGATCTATTAAATATTTATATATTGTTATATATTTATTTTATATTTTTATATTTTTTTATAAATTAATTCTATTTTTATATATATTTAAATATCTTATCACATAATAATTTATCTTATTATTATCATTGAATTTTTTTTTAATTATATTTTTTTTTTTATTTTCAATTCTTTCATTTTTTTAAATTTAGTATCTAAATTTGATTAAATTTGTATTTTTTTATATTAATACATTTATTATAACTTTTCATATAAATTTTAAATATATTGCTATAGTCGATTTTTTTCTGAAATTATAATTAAGTTATTTTTTTAAAAATTATTTATTTTTTTACTTCATAATTAATATTTTTTGTGTCATTTAAAAGTTTTTATTATAAATAAATTATATATTTTTTATCTTTTATTATTTGTAATAATTTCAATATACATATTTTATGATATATGGGATTAAAAAGTGTGCTTTATTTGTATTTAAATAAATTTTTACTTTTGCCATTGTTTTTTTTTTATATGTCTATTAGTAATATTGTTGCTTGTGTGTATTTATTTTTAATGATAAATTGAAAATATTCTTGATAATATTTTTTTTTATTAATTTATTAATATGATATATTTTTAATTTCTTAATTAATTATTTGGGTCTCTATTTTAGTAATAATTAATTATTTTTTAGGTTAAATAATATTTAAATATTAATATATTATTTTATGAATTATCTAAATATTATTTCTATCCTAATTATATTTATGTATTTAAAATAAGTTTTATTTATGTGTATTATTATTATTTTTTCAATTTAAATTTTTTATTTTTTTATTTTTACTAAAATAAAATGTTTTATTTTTTATTGTTTTATTTAGAAAATCCCTAATATTCTTATTTTATTATTATTTACTAAGTTTCTTAAATTTTATAACATTTCTTTAATTTTTTTAATATTAATTATATATAAATAATTATTTATTATATTATTTTCAATTTATAACTAAAAGAATATAATTGGATGGATAATTAGATTTATTTTTATTATATTATTATATATTTATTAATTTTATTTAAGTCCAGAATTTTTATAAAACTATTTTAGATTTATTTTAATAAAATAAAATAAAATCAATTTATTTCTTAAATTTTTTATAATTATTTATTATAACTTTTCTTTTATATATTATTTTATATTTTAAATAATATATAATTTTTAAGAGTTTTTATAAATGTTATTATATTTAAAACATCTTAAATAGTCATTAGTTTATTGGTATTATATATAATTCAAAAAAAATATATATATAATAAAAAAATATTATAAAAAAATTATTAAAATATAATTAATGTAAATATAATTATATAAAATTAGATTTTAAATATTTATTAATTTAAATCATTTGAAAAATACATTTTTTAATAAATTCAAAAAATAAATATAAGAAAATATTTTAAATAAAGTAAGTATAAATTATATATATTAATATAAAAATAAAATATATTAAATTATATTTATATAAATATTTATTATATATATGTAAATATATTTCATATTTTTTATTAAAGATATTAATAATATTTAATTAATGTTTTTATTTAAATATATTAATATAAAAATTATAAAAATAACATATTTATATATTATATTTAATATATTTAATTTTATAATATTTATGATTTTATAATTAAATTTTTAAATAGATATTTGTTTTATATTTCTATTTATATTTTTAATTATTAATAAAATAATATTATTTATAATTAAAAATTTTGTATTATAATATTAATTTATTAATATTTTATAATAATTTGTTTTTTATATAATAAATATTATAATTAATATAATAAATATAAATAATTAATTTTAAATTTTATATTTTTTAATTCTAAATTTAATTATTTTTGAATTTATAATTAAATAATATTTTAACTTATATATTATAAATTATAATATTATTATTAATTTTTATTTCAAAATAAAATATTTTTTTTTAATAAAATAATATTTTTGATTTATTTTAATAAAAATACATTTCAAATTTTAAATTAAAGATAAAAGGTTTTAATATCTATATTTCATTAATCATATACTTTAACGTAATTTAAAAATCTTGTGATTTTTTCGCATTATTTCGAAGAATTATTTAAATTATATCCATTAATACATTTAGTGCATTAAATCTAATCACATTTTATACAATTA